AACATCTTTCCATGCTTCTGTTGGCCAACTAGGTGTCTTTTTTGGAGAAATGTCTTTTCATCTTCTGCACATTTTTCACTTGGTTTATTTGGGGTCTTTTTGGTGTTGAGTTGTATCAGTTCTTTATATATTTTGGGTACTAACCCTTTATCACATGTCATTTGCAAATATCTTCTTCCATTCAGTAGGTTGCCTTGCAGTTTTGTTGTTTTCTTTGCGCGTGGAAGGTTTTATTTTTATGTAGTCCCAATAGTTTATTTTTGCTTTTATCGCCCTTGCCTCAGGAGACATATCTAGAAAAACGTTGCTATAGCTGATGTCGTAGAAGTAGTAATACTGTCGGTGCTCTTGTCTAGGATTTTGTGGTTTCAGGTCTCACATTTAGGTCTTTAATCCATTTGAGTTTATTTTTGTGTATGGTGTGAGAAAGTGGCCTGGTTTCCTTCTTTTGCATGTAGCTGTCCAGTTTTCCCAGCACCATTTATTAAAGAGATGGTCTTTTTCCTCTTGCATATTCTTGCCTTCTTTGTTGAAGATTAATTGACCATATGATTGTGGGTTTATTTCTGGGTTTTCTCTTCTGTCCCACTGATCTATGTGTCTGTTTTTGTGCCAGTATTGTACTGTCTCGATCACTATAACTCTGTAATATAACATGTAGTCTGGAATTGTGATGCCTCCAGTTTTGTATTTCTTTGTCAAGACTGCTTTGGCTATCTGGGGTCTTTTGTGGTTCCATACAAATTTTAGGATTGTTTGTCCTAGTTCTATGAAAAATGTGTAGGTATTGATAGGGATTGCATTAAATCTGTAGATTGTTTGGGTGGTGTAGACGTTTTAACAGTATTTGTTCTTCCAGTTCGTGAGCATGGAATGTCTTGCCATTTGTGTTGTCTTCCATCTCTTTCATCAGTGTTTTATAGTTTTCAGAGTACAGGCCTTTCACCTCTTTGGTTAAGTTTATTCCTAGGTATTTTATTATTTTTGGTGCAGTTGTAAATGGAATTATTCTCTTAATTTCTCTTTCTGCTGCTTCATTATTAGTGCATAGACATGCAACAGGTTTCTGTACCTTGATTTTGCCGAGTTCAGTGAATTCCTTTATCAGGTCTAGTAGTTTTTTGGTGGAGTCTTTAGGGTTTTCTTTAGATAGTGTCATGTCGTCTGCAAATAGAGTTTTAGTTCTTCCTTGTTGCTTTGGATGCTTTTTATTTATTTTTCTGGTCTGATAACTGTGGCTAGGACTTGCAGGACTATGTTGAATGAAAGTGGTGAGAGTGGACATCCTTGTCTTGTTCCTGACCTTGGGGGAAAGGCTCTCAGTTTCTCCCCATTGAGTATGATGTTGGCCATGGGTTTTCATAAATGGCCTTTATTATGTTGAGGTGTGTTTCCTCCAAACCTACTTTGTTGAGGGTTTTTATCATGAATGGATGTTGTACTTTGTCAAATGCTTTTTCTGCATCTACTGAAATGGTCATATGGTTTCGTATCCTTTTTCATTGTTGTGATGTATCACATCGATTGGTTTGTGACTGTTGAAATTGGTTCCCTCTTTGTTGACACCCTAAAAATGAAAGAACCTAAAATTCACACCAGGGTATTGAGGAATACTGGCTTTTCAGAATCCAGATGTCAGGCTTGTTGTTCCTGACACTTTCTAGCGTTGTAACATTGGTTAGGTTTGATTGCCTCCGTAAAAGGGAGGGCCAGAACTAACTATCTTTAAAGTTAACCTCCAATCTACTGTAATTGGTTCTTATGAGCAAATATTTTTGGTACACAAATGCGTAGTACATAAATTTTCCACTTTACAAGTGTGTCACATACCAAAAGTTAATGGGTTAGCTTCTTAGGTGCTTTATTCCACAGCAGTAGCGTTGTGTCTGTTTAGATTTACTATTATTAAGAGTACATAAGACAGTGCCTACAATAGTGCCTGGCACATGGTAGTTTCGTACTAAATATTCAGTAAAATATTACTGATCACTGAACTCCTGGGCGTCTTACAAGTCTGTTTAAACACTGTGTTAAAATATGTATACGTTTGTAGTGACCAGAATAACAACATTAGTAAATGAATCAGTAAGAAAAATTTCAGCCTAAAATCTAGTGTTTGAAGGAAAAAGTGAAGAAACAAGATAGAATTTAATGGAGATTCTAAGTGGGGGTTTGAGGGTAAGTTCAGATGCTTTATAATGGTGATACTTCATTATTTCTAAATCCTTTAAAAACATACAGCTTTTCAGTTCCCCAATTTGTTATTTCATTTATTCATATACAACATTGATCTGTGTGCCGGGCTCCGAACTAGGTTCTCAGCAAAAGAGATGGTCTCTGTGCCATGAATCCTTCTCTGCAAAGAAGGGAGAGACATAGGCCTGGGATTACCAGGAATGAGAGTTCAGAAGGGAAAGTCCCACGAGGTGGGCGCACCTCACTGGCCTGGGACTTCTAGTGACTGTCACCTGGCTGGACGTGGGCGAGGGAGCACAGGAGCTTTCCAGGCACAAGCAGCCTGGGGAGCGGCGGCAGTGATGATGATGACGACGACGATGACGACAGTGACCGCTGGGGAAGGAAACGGAGGTAATAGTGAGTGGATGTGACGTGACCTCGAAGGTTAAAATCAGTAGCACTCAGATGTGAAAGAACAGGAACGAGGCATTCGAATTATCCCAGGTTTCTGGCACTCACTGAGATGGGCGGCACCGGTGAACGGGGGATCTGGGGGCAGCTCCTGCATTCAGCTGTACGCCTGCTGGGTGTGCGAGGTCTAGGAGGGGGTGTGAACTGGGCACTGAGATGTGTAGGTGGGCCTGGACTCGAGAGAAGCAGTCTGGGTTGGAGATACACTTCATGAGTCACTGGCAGGTGGGGGTTTGAAGGAAGGAGGTTGGGACACGTCCCCGTAGTAACCCGTTGAACTTGAAGGTACTTTTATGCGGCCCAGTGGAAGTGATACGGTGAGGAAAAGGTGAAAATGGCAAGAGTGGAACATTTTTCCCGGTTGCTGCTAGGAATTAAACGGGAAGAAAGAGGAGTAAAAGAGCATCTAGATGGGTCTGAGAAGGCTTATCTAAGTTAGAATTAACTGAAGTGTGTGTGTGAGTCTGGGGAGTTGAAGTGATGATTTCCCCCGGGTGGAACACAAGGAGTGCGGGTTTAAATAGGTCGCGCCACCAGGCAGTACTACGGGTCCAAACACCCTGTCAGTGGGGTGTTGGTGGGTATGATCCTCCCAAGGGAGATGGAAGGAAAGGCATATGGAACATAGATTCCGGGAGCATTTGCGAAGTGGCTGCTGGGTGGTTGGTTTCCCTAAAACTTGAGGGAATTCTTCTGTCAGATATGTTTATGTTCTACATTTGAGCATACTTCTTTGAGTGTATGCTGTAGAATACTTGCAGGATCAAGAGTGGTAGTGTGGCTTCATAAAATAGTAGGTCCCAAAGCTTAGATTATAATTAGTAGAGGGGTGCCTGGGTGCGTCAGTTGGTTAAGCGTCTGACTCTTGATCTTGGCTCAGGTCTTGATCTCAGGGTCGTGAGTTCAAGCCCCGCGTTGGGCTCCACACTGGGCGTGAAGCCTCCGTAACAGCTAAATAAATATTAGAGATGATTTGGTTTTCGGACTTGATCCACAAGTATGAACTACATTCTCCTCAAATGTGCCTTAGCCTACAGGGAGCGCTAATGCCATGGAAGATGGAGAATGTACCGAATTACTTGCTGAACTCAAATTTGCACTGGCAAGCTTTGACAACCCATTCTTACTGCTCCAGACATCATTTACCTCCAACATTTATTGTATGGAGCCATTCAAATAATTCAGTGTTTCTTAATTTGACAACAGAAGTACTTGTTTAAAAACCTCCACATTTCAGTGTGATGTACGTAGATGATCCTTAAGGTGTGACCGTAGTATTACGTATTGAGAAGTACTGAGTTACTAGGCTATGGAATACCTCCGGCCCTTTATGGATCTGAAATCCTGAAGCATTAAATTCTATTTTGCAGGAGCCTTATACACTTGGAAATAATAGCCACTATTAATTGTGAAGCGTTGACTATGTGTTAAATATCGATAAGGTAGTAAATAACAGAGGCATTATCTTATTTAGACTTCACAGTAACTGTCTGAGAAAAATGATCTGCCCCCCTTTTGAGGATTAAGAAATCGAGGCTGAGAAGTGAAATACCTTGCCGAAGACCTCATACCTAGTAGGTGTGGAGCCGAGCTTCAGACCCCGGCCACTGAATTTAGGGGACATTTTAAATTTTGATGATTCCTGCCAAATTCCCTTCTAAAAGGGGGAGTGACCGTTTCCCTGCACCTTCAGCCTCCCCAACATCTGCATTCCTGCAAAGTGCTAAGTGAAAAACTGTTAGAATTCACAGGTAACTAGTGCGGTTGGTTTTTCCTACTTTTTAGGTGTTTGTGTTTCGCTTTCTGGGAGTTAGCTTTGCCTTTTTTCCTTTGAGTTTATCTTTCTAGTTGTTATGTAGGCCAAGTGGTTAAGTTTAAGTTTTGATACCTTCAGGAGGCAAAAAAGAGCAACAGTGTTAGCTGTGCTTCTGCAGTTTCACCCGGCTTTTCTTGTGAACACTTTTCTTGTGAGTTCATAGGATTCCGACCTAAATCCCTGATAAGTAAGCTTATCTCTGTACGTAGACCATCTAACATGAGTTTGTTTCCACAGAGAAAGAGAAATATTCTGTAGATTAGAGTGGTGCCCACTAATGCCCACAGACTGAATATTTCTGTGCGCGTGGCAGGCACCCCATTACCCACCCCAGGATGTCGAGAAAGAATTAATTGACTTTATTTCTTCCTCAGGTTTGCCTGCAATGAGATTTCATTCTCCACATATAAAGGACATCCTTTCTGAGCTGCTGTGAATAAATTTGGAATGATACTATATATTTTCATCTGATGGAGAATTAGCTGTACCTTGAGTTTGGATTGCTGCACTGGACGACCTAAGAATATCGCTCACGATGTCATCAAACAGGAGTCAGAATCCCCATGGACTGAAGCAGATTGGCCTTGACCAGATCTGGGACGACCTCCGCGCTGGAATCCAGCAAGTATATACCAGACAAAGTATGGCGAAATCCAGATACATGGAGCTCTACACGTATCCTACTGCTTGAGCTGAGATTAATTTGCTTAGAAGTTCAGTTATTTACTAGTATGATCTGTGAATGGTTAGAAATTTTACATCGTGTTTTCTCTTTCCATTTTCACCCTGTGATATACTCAGAGTCCTTTTTTAGCTTTAAAAATTAACTCACACTCTTTAAGTCTTTTGACCAGAGGTAAAATTGGCTAGTTGGTTAGTCCAAAGCAGTGCTGTGCAGTGCAGTTGTTACTGACTACGTGTGGCTGTTTACATTGGCAGTCACTAAAATGAACAGTTCCTAAGTCACGGTATCTGTACTTCAGGTGCTTGATAGATGGCACACTACTTCCGTCGCTGTGGAAAGTTCCATCAGACCGTGCCAGTGAAAGCAGGGGAGCGCTGGTTTCTGTGTTGTCTGCGGTCGCCTTTGTGCTTCAGGGCCTGAGCAGGGTGCTTGCATCATAAGTGGTCTGGTCCTACGTGGCTCAGGACGTGGTTCAAGGCCCGCACTGGCCTCTGCGCTGACAGTGCGGGGCCTGCTTCGGATCCTGTTTTCCTCTCTCTGCCCCACGCTCACTCTCTAAAAAAATAAATAAACGTTAAAAGAAAAAATAAAAGCAGTCTGGCCCACAAAGCCAGAAATATCTGCTGTCTCGCCCTTTATGGGAACAGTTCGCTGACCCTTATCTAAAGGGTTACCACATAGAGCAAAAAGCTTGACAGTCACGACCTTGTTTTACAAATACGGTATTAAAGTATCTCATTCGCTCGTTATGTGGTCCATGGTGTGTGCAAGGGACTGTCTGCCTGCCACAAAGGTCATGAGGGTGTAAAAGACATAGCTCCTGTTCTCTAGTATGTACCTGACGATACACTTTTTAACTTGTAAGTTTCTTGATTCCATTCAAATAGAAGAAATTGAAATTTAAGCTAACTCCCTAGACAGCAGATTGCTACCGCTTTGCTGGTTCTGGTAGTTTAAAGTTGCTAGTTCAGTGGAGATTTAATCTTAGATTTTTAGTATGTATCAATAGTTGTCAAACTTGGCTATGTGATATTCCAGTGTACCCTCAGCTATGCTAACATTTTAGGATCGTCCCCCCAAATTAGCATTACTTTAAATAGGCATGAAGCTTCATGTCTAACTCAAAATTAACTTAAAAGTTATTATAGTTGTGTGCATATTCCTATGTGCGTGTACATTTACGTTGTTAAAAAACCAACTTAATTGAGATACAACTCCCATACTGTAAAATTCACCCTTCTTTAAGTGGTTTTTAGTATATTCCCAGGGCCGTGCAGCCACCAACATGGTCTCAGTTTAGGACATTTCCATCACCGCCAAGAGAAGATCCGTACCCACGAGCAGTCACTGTCATTCTCGCTCCCCTCGGTCCCCGGCAACCACTAATCAACTTTCTGTCTGTGCATTTGCCTGTTCTGGACATTTTAGAAACGTGGAATCACGCAATGTTTAGCTTTTTGAGACCGGCTTTTTTCACTTAGCACAGTGTTTGTGGCTTCAGCCTTGTGTCACGTGTCCGCACATCCTCCTCCTGACGGCTGGATCGCAGGGACACATACCGCGTTTTGTTCATCCGTTCGTCAGTGATGGGCCGCCTGGGTTGATTCCACCCTTTGGCTCTTACTGAACTATGCTGTTGTGAATATTGTTATCTTGGGTGGAAAGCTGGGAGTGGATTGCTGGGTCACAGGACATAGAGAAAGCCTTTAAGGAGGATAGGATCTTTGACAGAAGAGAGGAGGCTCCTCCACTCGAGGGTTGTGGCTTACCTAGGTGTATGACCTTTATGATCTTTTTTGTTTTTGTTTAATCTTGTAAGTAATACGGCTGAAGGTGGTGATTTCAGTGGCGAGACAAGGCACTTGGCTGGGTTTCTGGTGTGCGGAAAGCCCAGGGAGCCCCGGTGTGGAGACCAAAGACGTCTAATTGCTGATTTGTCTCTGGGGAATTTCTTCACATGTGATTTTTGGCTAAATCAGATTGGTCCTCTGTCCAGGACCATGCCATGCTCTCAGAACTCTGAGAATGTGGAGACAGCAGTTACTGGCTTCTTTTATTCTGTAAATAATTAGAATGTGTAGTTCTGCGGTTTTTAAATTTTTTCGGAAATGCTGCCCTTCAATTGGGTATTCTTTTCCTCCCAGTTGCGTTTGACAGCATAACAGCTTTATGCATTTATTACGAGTGGAGAGGCCGACTGAGTCTAAAATATCTTACTTTAATTCTTCAGGTATTTATGAAATAATGGCTACAGTTGGAGTCTTATGTGTCAGGCCTTGGGCCAGGAAGCATCTTCGTCTTCCTCAAGGCCTGCATTGCCCCCGAGGGCTGGTGGGAGTGACCCTCCTCTGTTGGTGTCGGAAACCACTTCCCCAAAGGCTCATGTAACTTGCTTGATACGGCAGCCACAGTAAATGATGGCGGTACTAAAATGCGCAGTAGCCTGACCCTAGAAACCTGCCTTTATCTGCTAACTACCTTCAGATTCTGTATCTGAGTGAATCCTGTTGCTCAAAGTATTTGCAGTATTGGTGGTGTTATTGTCACAACTAGAACTTTGGGGCGTCGCGCACGCCTTTCCGGAGCATGTGGTCACTTGCGTTGAGGGTCCCCTAAGACCGGGTGCTGTTGGAGACACCACGGCAGCGCTAGCCCCGCCTCCATTTACGGGTCACTGCAGATTCTTGTAAAGTTTTCTCTTCGGGTGTGTGTTCGGTCTCCGTGTTAACCACTTGCTGACTCGCCTTTTATTTTTTTATTTTATTTATTTTTTTTTTTAGAATTTTTTTTTCAACGTTTTTATTTATTTTTGGGACAGAGAGAGACAGAGCATGAACGGGGAGGGGCAGAGAGAGAGGGAGACACAGAATCAGAAACAGGCTCCAGGCTCCGAGCCATCAGCCCAGAGCCCGACGTGGGGCTCAAACTCACAGACCGCGAGATCGTGACCTGGCTGAAGTCGGACGCTTAACCGACTGCGCCACCCAGGCGCCCCGCTGACTCGCCTTTTAAAATAATCTCCTCCGGGCTGGTTTACAGTGACATCTGACACTTGGCGGTTGTCAGGTTGTGTTTCAGGTTAGCGGGTGCTTTTGGTCCTGGGAGGAGGGAGCAGACTGTGCACCCAGTGTTCACTCTGCAAGGTCAGAGCATCCTTGGCGATAGTTGCTGACAGAGAATGGGTTAGAATCAGGCGAGAGGAAAAGCTGGTTGAGAGAAAAGAGGGATCCTTTTCCTTCCTAACTCTGGCTGGGGGCTAACGGCTCAATTTTTACCCTTTGTTTATTCTGGAGAAACATATGTGACTTGCTTTCTAGAGAAAATACCCTGCTTTTGAATGTGAAACAAATATTCTTAGAGCCTTATTATACAGTGTAAACATTTCTCTTGACTTTTTAACTCAAAATGGCAAAGGAAAGAGAAAGGTGTTTTTGGAAAGAAAACAGTCCCAGAGCATCTGCAGTCAGAAAGATCTAGTTCACTCACCTTTGTTTCCAGCCGCTACTCTCACGGGCTTCATTTTTCTTCTGCAGTTTGAGCCTCAAGCCCTTGCTCCTTCCGGCATGTCTGTCTGTCCAGTCTTTGTCTCCCCGCTTCTAACTTTCCTTGATGTCTTACGTACTATACAGCCGACCCTGGAACAGCACAGGAGTTAGGGGCATTGACCTCCTGTGCAGTGAAAAAGCCGCATATAGCTTGACCCCCCCCAAAATTTAATAGCCAAGTACTTTCAACTGTGGAAACCCAACTAAGAACATAAACAGTCGATTAACACACATTTATGTCATATGTATTGTTTGCTGTGTTCTCACAATAAGCTAGAGAAAAGAAAATACTAAGAAAATCATAAGAGAAAATACATTTACGCTACTGTATGTAGCGAAAACAAATCACATTTAAGCAAACCCGTTCATTTCAACCCTCTTGTTCAAGAGTCAACTGTTGGGGCGCCTGGGTGGCTCAGTCGGTTGGGTGTCCAACTGCAGTTCAGATCATGATCTCGCAGTTCATGGGTTCGAGCCCCGCATAGGGCTCTGTGCTGACAGCTCAGAGTCTGGAGCCTGCTTCCCATTCTGTGTCGCCCTCTCTCCGCCCATCCCCCACTCACACTCTTGTCTCTCTCAAAAAGAAACAAACCTTGAAAATACATGTTTTGTTTTGTTTTTTAAGTCAAGTTTTTTTAAAAAGTCAGTACAGCAACTTTTTTTTTCCCAGTAAAATACAGGCGTGCGTTCTGTGCTGGTGGGTATGTAATAGGTGGGTAAATAATAGTAGACTTCTTTCTTTTTGAAAAATTGAGATAGGTAATGTAATTTCTTAGTCGGTTTATTGACACTTCAGGTGTCATGCTTCGCTCAGAGCAAGCGTGGGTCTTGATGAGTGGAGCAAACGTTTATGGTGAGAATGCAGGATGATGGAGGGTCCTTGTGGCGTAACTGAGAGCGGCCCATCTGGTCGAGTGTGGTAGAAGTTTCTGGTTTCGCTGGGCGCCAGATCTGCCTGCCCTCCTTTCCAGGTCACAGGCCTTTTTTCCCTTGGTCAGTATACACCGCAGACCATGTTTTGCCTTCCCCTGGGATCCAGAGAAACCTCCGCGTTGGTGTCTTTCATTGTTTCCTTATGCCTACAAAAGTTCTCAACGCTGGAGTTTGGATTTTTCCCTGTGGTGCTGTGAGCTGTATTAGTTTATCCTGTTTTATTAGCCTCGTTTTTTGTTTGTTTTTCGAAGTCTTCTTTTTCCCCAGCAGTACACTCAGGATCCTGTTCCTATTTCCAAGTCTTGGTCGTTCACCTCACAGTGATAACAGACATAGTCAGGATTCATATTTACTCTCCGTCCTGATGTTCTGTGACACAGTTCACGGTCCCTGGGCCTGGGGGCACTTTTGCACCCAGAGTTACTGAGCCCTCGGCCGCGCATGCTTCGCAGGCACAACGTGCCAGGACGTGCTGGTCCTACCGCGGCCGGTGCCTGCCAGCTGCGTGGTCA